TTTTCACGGGTTTCCTCAGTCCCTCTAAGCAGATGCCAGGATAGCGACTTAAAACAGGCCACGACCGCTTCCTTTCACATCCTTTCCAATTAATTGTTGTCTATGATTCTCTTATTCGACGCTATATAGTCTCAGCTACTGAAAAAGCGTCGTTAAATAAACTACAAATTAATAAGTAACGATGAATAAATATCGAAAAAATAAGTCGTAAGTTTTGATTCTCTAATAACTTGACTGTGTTACCTGAACAGCGTAATCGCACTGTCAGCTTAACTACGCGCTTTTTGCACGGAGTGCATAAAATTGGCGCAAAGTCTGGAAATGGCATCTGTCAATCAGTAGCAGTTTTTAATTATGAAAGTACTTTGTTCCTTTCATTTAAATTTGTTACTGCCGGCCTACACTCTGAGTTATCAGGTAAATGTGACTTTATTTTATGTCAGTCCAGTCTGCAGATACGTCAAATTCAAATGCAGTTTTATAGATTTTCTCAGAAATGGTTCATGGAACCAAAAACGTTTATTTGAACCGCTTTTGGATAAATGAATACGTAAAAAATACAACGGAAAAAAATCTGCAGTATGTAGTGCAAATCTGGGTGTAGGCAACGTTATACTTAAATTTAGTATGTAATTGCTGTTTAAAATAAATACAAAGATACTATCTCCAACTTTTCGAGGCTTCCATGAGAAATTAGTAGTTGCTGAGCTAGAGTAAGGAAATTCCCCGTCTTTTATGAAACACGAAAATTTAAAGTAACCTGTATCTCAGCCATATACGAGGTGCCATCGAAGATGGTCGTCCGTTCTGGACGACCATCATCGACAGAGGTTCGGTCATTTTTAAAACGTGAATGCCACACAAAAGTTTGTGCACGACCCATTGCGGATTCCCCAAATGCTTGCTTTAGCATTTCATAGGTTTCCGTAGCCGTTTTGGCGAGTCTTTGGCAAAATTTGATGCACACTCTTTGTTCATGAAAATCCGCCATTCCGAAATCGCAGGAGGGTCGGTGTAATGCACTACCAAAACGCCCGTAACTAAGAAACAAATGCTAATTCGATGATGCCGGCTGGCACACTGATTCACTATGAATGTAGGCCGCACCCCCTAGCGGCAGAAGCTCGTACTACATCCGGTTCGCCCTCTATTGACACAGTCTTGAAACTTTCCGATCGCACCTCATATGTTACAAACCAATCGCTCACTTTGTGTCGAAGGTCTTTTAAGGAGTTGGAGAGTGTCAATGACGTATGTCATTGATTAAAGGATGAACCCGAAGATGACTTTCTTCTGGGTTGTTTCTCATGTAAGTGTCAGGCCTGTATAACAGAATTTTCATCTCAAAGTATATATATATATATATATATATATATATATATATATATATATATAAAACCTCCTGTACTAGCTAAAGCAAAGACACATCTGACTATTAGAACTCGTAAATATTGTGTGAATGTAGGAATTTTACAGCAAATATAGTACATAAGAATAAGAAGTAATTGGCCTAGTAGCCTAATATATCTTTTGAAATTTCCAGCTTTTCTCGACGAAATACTTTTATTTAGAATCGGTCGTTCCGTTTTTTACCTTTTGGTCTTTAATGCTAAAATTTGACACCACCGCTTTCTCCCAATCTATCCAAAAGATGTAAATAGTTCGTTTGATAGTCAACTTTTCTACTTAGGATATAAAATGTGTCTGTCGCCTTTCTCTCATGAACTAAACAAGAGAGATGCACTGAAACAGTTTAAAAGATATTTTAAAGACTCCGAAGGATATAAAACATTCTCCGTACAACAAAACAGTTATGTCCAGCTTCGTTTCGAAAGGTGCCTGCACCATAGTTTTCACACTTTTCTTGTTTCTACCATCCAAGCTACAAGTTCAGCCATTGTCATGTATTTGTGCAAGATAGTACGGCTGCTTCGAGTTGTGTTCATACACCTCAAATGTAGACATCCAGGGAATGAATTCCATCAGAATCCGTGTTACAATAAGTGTCAATCTTCAATAGTCAGAAATGGTTAAAATTTAAATCTGCTGACAACTCGCTGTTAAACTGCGAAACTAAATAATTCATTGCTGTGATGCGATATATCGTTTCTTTCCTTACGAATCCCACAAATTAGGGCTCTGTCTCGTCTTATGCCGTTTATTGGGGGAAAATTATGAAAACGGTTTACTTTATGTCAAAGATGTATATATTATATGAAATGAAATGGAAAGCATGAATTTGTCAAACTTTATCATTCCAGTCTTCATCAACCCAAAATAGTCTGTGACTGAAATAAAAACGTTTCCGTACAATTTAGTCGAATTACAATGTTTTTAAAATAACACATAAAAATCGCTCGGTAATGTAAATATTTGTTGTAGTGTTGGTACTTGAAATGGTAGTGTCCTTTTTTTAAAGTGAATCTTGATCAAATTTCTCATCTTGAAAGCGTTCAATGAAAAATTTAAGTTTTTAAATTGACAGTGACTTCGTTACTTCCCAGCCACGTGTATGTGATGACTCTTGTAGCATACGATGACATGGACTCTGGAATGATGATTGGAGGGGAGTCGAAGTACTCAAAGAAAACCATATCATTTTAACTGCCTCAGAAATCCTGATATTGAACTTCGACTGTCCCGGTGAGAAACCTACTATAATCGCTTTATTTTACGTCATACTTTTGTAAAGAATTTTTCATCTTTCATTATTATTTAATAAAGCCTGTATAACCTCGAATGTAATAATACTGTAATAACAATAATAATGTTTAAAATTATTAATAATTTTATAGTCATAACCATCACGATAAGACCTTGAGGCGAGCGATGATTTGACGTATAGTTATAACCATCACGACAAGACCTTGAGGCGAGCGATGATTTGACAGTGAAGTTACTAATTATATTTTATATAACAATTATAGATTATTTTTGTGTGCTATAAAAACTGTAAAAAGGCACGCAGATGTATATATTTTATTTGAAAATTCCGAGAAGTAACATTGGTTAAAGGCGATGGAAATTTTCCTCAAATTTTACTTGTTACAGGTGGATGGACTCAGGCGGCAAAGCGGAAGAGACGAATCCTCAGCAAAGTCCTGAGTTGCCCCTCACAGTGACAGCCACGCCTCGGCGGAATTTGCAACAAATTAACATGATAGGTGGAAGTGGTGACGGCACGAGCCAGAATCCTAAAGGTTCCAAACTAACTCTTGTCATTTCCAAGACTGATAATGACAATATCAACAACTTATCGAATAAAAAATACGATAAAATCCACGATAAAAACGAGGAGAATCGTAGGCTGCTTAGTACTAGCGGCGTGCCTCACAAGAAGATCCTTATTGTGCCTTCATTGCGTCAGGAAGCAGTTGGCGGTGTGAGGTCGAACCCCGCTGTGCTCTCGACAGTTAACAAAGACAGTGCGAGTGTCAGTGTTCCCCCGACTTCTAATGGAGGTATATCAGAGATTGTAGATTCAAAATTTCAGAACAAAAATGCATCCGGCATTAGCGAGTTACGCCCTCCAACTTTCGTAGTAGGACTCGAACTTAAAGGGCTTGAAGATAGTATTCGTGCTGGACACAGTCTACCGTTAACAATGTCAAGTCTCAGATCCCTGAAGTTGGAGGATGCGAAAAGCCAGCATCCAATCATCACGCCGCAGGGTCCAGACTGGAGGAGCTCGTTCTGCTTCTCAGAAGTTGCGAGCCACATGTCGGTGCGGTCCCTGGCTTCGGTCGGTATGGGATCCACCGATGGTCGGAAGGTCACTATTCGCCGAGTACCCACGTCTCCCACCGAGCTCTTCAACATCATTCACTCCCCCACGTGAGTAACAGTGCCTTTGTTAATTGCTGGTTTGGAGCCAGTGTCCAATTGGATATGAAACATCTTGTCACAACAAAATATTCCATTCTCTTGTGCAAGGTACTTGAAAATTTATTCAATTTCCTGATATACGTTATATTTGTCAAGGTGTGGTCTCTGTATAGTCACAGCAATAAGGTGTATTTATTAATGCAGTCGTCAATAAATTTTTTATATAATTTGCGTAACTTTTCGATCACCCTGTACAGAGAATTAGTTCAAGTCTCAGTAAGCCATTTTAAAACATAGTAATCAGACAAAAGGATATGTGTATCCGTTTTAATGGAACAAAAAAATTGACAGTAAGAAGATCAGACAAAAGGATATATGTATCCGTTTCAATGGAACAAAAAAATTGACAGTAAGAAATAAAGTCATAGTCGAATGCTGCAGTTAGTGACGACCAGATAATGTCTTGCCTGACTGATCAACATTTTACATCTTGCCGGCAGCCATTCGCTGATATGTAGCGGAAAGCATTTGTGACGCAACAGAATTTTGTTTTTCAGAAGTAATTAGAGATAACGCGGTTTGTTGATTACCTTTACTTGTAGAACAGGTACTACTGTGGGCGCCAACACGTATAGAGGGAAGGGATCTGTTTAGAAATGGACAGGACCGTACTTACACTTCTCGGGGCCCGAGGCGCTAAGCTCTTGCTGGACCCCTTTAAAGATACCAGAGTCAAAAAAAAAACCTTGCATATATAAATATAATCAGAAAAATTTTTTTACCGATCTGTTAAAACACAAATGTTGTTATACTGCGAAATATAAAGAACAGTACTGAACTAATCTCTGTGTCGCAACTGCCCTTATGTCTAGCCATACGGCTTTGGCGGGTCATCACGTGTTCAGCGCATCGGCTCTCATAGCCGTGTTTCTGGCTTTCGTGACCAGCGTCCACAACCCTTTCACAAGTAGCTCCTCATTTCACATTCTCTTTTTATAAAAAAATACCGTCTTAATCAGGGCTGTGCAAATGGGGGGGGGGATCACAGAGTGCGGCGCACCGGGGCCCCGATCGATAAAGCACAAAACGTTTAATATTTTTAATTAGAAGTAATAATATAATTTTGTTATTGATTGCCAAGGAAATATATAAACCTGCACGCAATAAGACGAAAGGAAATGTTTGGCGTGGCCCGGTCTCCCGACTTGGTTTATTCATCTCAAATAAGTAAGGGGACTCCGATTTCTTCTTCCACCCGGGCATCAATTACCTTTGTATGATCCTGATATTTATCATTGTAATTTTTACGTATTAAAGTTCGTGGAGTTTTTTTCTTTATTTTTGTCAAAATTAACTTTATTGAGGGCCCCAAGCCTCATGCGCCTGTGCCTGAGCACGGCCCTGGAAGTGGAGGTGGGAAAAGGTGGGAATTAGCCATTCTAAAATACGCTTTAATGCGATGTACATTTTGTATGTATGGAGGTGGGAATAGGGAAGAGGTCCATTTTAAAGTACTATTCTGTCATATTGTGTAGTGATTAAAACAGGGCCCAATTTTATCCTCCTGAATTATAAAATAATAAACCCCGAAAGCCATATGGCTTTCCTATAACATTATCGTCCTAAGGAGGTACTATTTTTGAACTCGTACAAGGACTTTGGGCCGACCGTTTGGTCGAGTGGTTAGCATTCCTACTTTGTATTTGAGATGTCCCGGGTTTAAATCTTGACCTAGAGACCAGCTAATCTAACCGAGGTATCTACAGCTTTCCTCAGTCCTGGAAAAATATCGGGATAATACATTAAATTGGGCCACTGCCGCTTCTATCCGCATCTTTCCAATTCATTGTTTATTAATCACCACCACATTCGGCGCCATATAGTCTCAGCTGATGACAGCATCGTTAACAAATCACAAATATATAAAACAAAGACTAGGAACATGTCTTGTAATTGGCTGTCTTGGCACACAGGCCTGCCATTTCGTACAAGGGCATAAGTTAGGTGTAGTTTGTCTTGAGACTAATAAAGCACATATTATTCAGGAAGCCTAATTTATTGGTTAATAACTCTTATCCTGAGGAAAGAGTATTGTGCCAAGTGCAATTGAATCTTAGCTATGGACGGGGGAGTACACTAAGAATAGTAATTGTTCTTGGTCTAATTTCATAGAGCTGTGAAATTCAAGAACGTTGAAATTATAATGCGAAACTGCACTTGCCTCAAATGGTTGAGAATGAGGAGTACTTAGCACATGGAGGTGTCGGATTGGAAACGAGCCAGACAGAAGAGAACCAGCGTCGTTTGAAGTTATACACAGAACTCGTGATCTTCATATTTACTTCTGTCAAAATTCGGTACAAAATTAAGAAGTTTCATGTCTAAATTGATTCCTTTAAGTAGGCTGAAGCGTTGGTATCTTAACAAGAGATCGTGGTTCAAGACCTGGATTAGCGGAAAATGTCCAGCTTACTACATTTGGCAGTATTCGGTTGGTCTGATATATCCCTCTAATGTCGAATTAACCTACTGCAGTATTCTCTGGCGTAAGCTCTTAACTGCTGGTTCTAGGTACCAAGATAACATTCTTGCCTTTTCTCAAAACATCTTGTGTAGTCACCCATGTTGCTGATATGTTCGGTGATTAGTTTCCGGGATTAATTAAGTAACTACATATAAAGATAAAGACGCATTGGTCAATATTTGAATTAGGAAGTATGCTGACGTGACTTATTTCAAGATATTTGAATTGAATTGAAATCACTAAAACCCTGGTCAGTACAGCTGATCCACTGGACGAACCAGGAACCTGTCGAATGCTTGCAAACTTGTCTGATGGTGCAGAAAGTCTACGAACATAATAGTAGTATAGCACCAGAAATGTTCGCTTTGTGTTTGGGTTTAAAGTCCTGTACTTTTCATTGCGAAATTTGTAGTCTTACGATAAATTATATCTTTACGTGGCAAGTAATTGCATTGATGTGGAGATTGAAATATGATAGCCGGTCTGCACAGCATTACGCTACGGATCTTGGACAGTCTACTAAATTATGCAAAGAATATAAAACGGGCCATTAAAATAGTTGAGATAAGTGTGTAACATTAAACACACATAAAATGCTTAAGAGAAAGATAACTTTCAAGCCATTTAAACATCACGTCGTAGACAAATGAGCCTTTGTCTTTCTCAAAAACGCCTCTATATTAATGCTTATAAAAGTTGCCGTTCTTTTCAACTCGACCAGCACATGACAGGGTACAGACTGGATGGTCGGGATTTGAATCCTGGTAAGCGTTTTTTAAATTAGTTTTCTCGTCATCACGAATGGAAAGCCTCCAGGTCTACTAAGATACTTCCCTTGTGATTAAGTCTGCACTCAACTCCATCTACGTCCGAGGTAATTAATGAGTGGAGCTTTAGGCCCGCCTCCAGACACGCGTTATAGAATCCTGTTGTATGGTTCTAAATGTCTTAGAAATGTACAACTCTGTTAAGATGGCCTATTTGTTTCTAAAAAATTACTGCTTCGAGAAAATTCTTGTTGGCTTCAGACTCTGATGATAAGTAATGAGACGTTTAAAGTAAGGATGCGAAATTTGGTATTTGGATAGAATATAAACGTATCT